GGGCTGCTGATTCTCTGCAGATGGGAAATGACTGTTCACAAAGATAAACTTGTTAAGGTGAGGTAGTGAATACAACTTGGGGCAAATTGTAGCCAGCAGTGCTCATGGCCTACTTCCTGGCCTGCTCCACTTTGGACAATGGCAACACAGCAGAGAGGGATGAAGGGTGCTAAACGTGTAGATGAATACTGAGGAGATCCAGTGCACAGCCCTGGAGAGGCTCCTGCTTCGTGTGGTCCCTGCCCCTTCCCCCAGTACACCTGAGGGACACTGTTTGTACCAGGTTGTATTTCCATAGTTTGATCAGGGGATGCTCAGTTCCTGCTAAAGAAAGAAAGCTGCTCCTCCCAGGAACTCCCTCTAGGCAGGAAGAGCCCGCAGGTCACACAACAGTGTGCAGTCCTTGCCTGCTGCAGAGCTCCCAGAGCTGCCTGTCAGAGTCTCCCCATCAGACGTGGCCCTGACCAGGATCCCTGCAGGAGCTGGGCTGGAGCAACGCTGGGTCAGTGTGAGGGGATAGAATCCAGCTTAAGGTTCTCTTGATAAAAGGGAAATTGGGTGACTTGACTTATTAATACAACACAAAAATAATAGTGAAAAAATGTGGTTATAATTCTGACAACAGGCAAAGCGTTGTAAACTTGCTGGGCAGTGCAGAATACTCGTGGAGAGCACACGTTCTGCTGTGTGTGTGTTCATGTGTCAGAAATCTATTTTAAATAAGGGATTTTTACATTTTACAGCTAAGCGAAACTGATGTTCCATTTGCTTTTCCTGACAGCGACGTGTCCCAGGCTCATGGTTACTGTCAGAAATATCAAACTTCACCACTGTGCTAGCACATGGGTTTAATAATTCACACAAAGTGGGGATGGGGGGAAGCTGTAGCTGGGATCTTTGAACAGCTGGTGTCAAGGACAACCAGGAGTGTTGGCCCTTGGGAGCAAAGCCAGGTCTTGCTGCTGGGGCACCTGTGGTGGTCAGGGTGTTTTGGTTTTATGGTTTGTAATTTCCAAATATCCAGGCAGTCTGAGGTCCAAGGCTTTGGTGTCTGCGTTGCTCCTCGCCTACGGCCACACTGGTTCCGTGGCAGTGGCCAGCAGCTGCTCAGGGAATGGTTTGGATGTATTTGGATTAAATTCAAAAAGAACTGGCAGCAGGTGCTGGTGCCCAGCAGCATTTTGCCTATGAGCACTGCGAGGTAGCCGTGGTCTGAAGGCCTTCAGGTGGTCCCACTGGCCTCTCGGGCTCCAGGAGGACTGTTGGGCTCCCAGGTAACCCCTGCACAGCTCTGCCCACGCTGGCTAGCCACCCCGCGCGGGCTAGCCACGGGGATGGCTTCAGGCCCCAGGGAGCCCGTGCTGGGAGGGGCAGGAGCAGGGACTCTTCGTGCTGCTGGTGCCGGAGCTCTGCAAGGGCTGTGAACCTCAGGGAGGCATGGGAAGTGATGGTGGCCTGTCGGCTGGCCAGAAACTATCCATCAGGGCATTTCTGGGGTTCAAAACTCTGCTGAGGCTGTCTGAAGGCTCTGAATGTAAAGTCAAGGACTCTGCATGTCTTTTTCTAGACACTGGCAAAGTGACATTTATTTTCAGCCAACCAGCCTTGCTCAGGAACTCTTGGACACTTTTTATATGGTGTTTTATTTTTTTTTATATATATGTGTGTGTTACAGACCACTGTATTACTTGGTTTTGAAAAGTCAGTAATCAAAACTTTACCCGAGGGGGAGCTGAAAAAGCCTCCTGAAGAGCTGAGGTGCTGGGAATTGGTGATAACTGGCAGTAGCAGAGTTGCAGTTTTGATGCCCCCATGCCCAGAGGCAGATGTGCCCATCTCCTGCTCAGCAGGCCTCACTCCCAAAGCTTTAATGCCACCCGAACACCGGGTGGACCTCTGCTGCTGGTAGGAAGCATCGCCAGGGATCCCATGGCACTAAGGGTTTATTCTGCTTCAGAGAGGGGTCACATAAGGTCTCCAAAGCCCCTGCTTTACATCATTAGGGCTAACAATTTGTAAAGATCTTCTGTTGAAGGAATTGGAAATAATTCTGCTGCCCCACAGACTAGTATCTTAATTTCAGATGCTGATGCTTCCAGGGAGAAATAAATCTGTTCCCAACAAACCCAGGTAGAGCACAGGCTCCATTTATTGGAAAAAAAAAAAAAATTAGAAATCTCTCCTGCTCCTGTGGCCAGGAATGTTTTGTTTGGTGCCTCATTTCCTACGCTTCCAGGGGGAAATAAATCTGTTCCCAGCAAACCCAGGTAGAGTACAGGCTCCATTTATTGGAAAAAAAAGTAAATTAAAAATCTTTCCTGCTGCTGTGGCCGGGAATGTTTTGTTTGGTGCCTCATTTCCTAGACATTTGCAGCCATATTTTAGCCACTGTTTGGGTAAAGCATGGAATGTATCAGTGTAAAGTTAAGCAGTTTATAGCTCAGCAGTAAGTGGGTTTTGATCCTTTTCAAGTATGTCTGACTCTAAGAACTGAATCTCTGCTGAAAAGATGGTTTAATTCCCCTGCACCTCGTTTTCAGAATGAGAATGGTGCAGCTCCTGAAGCTCTGGCAGCAATCTTGTGAAGGACTCGCTGAAGGGAACAGCTTCAAATCCTGGATTCGTGCAGATCAGGACGTCTGAACGAGGACATGATCTACAGGGGAGTCAGCTCTTCAGACAGCATCCAAACACCTCTCTGCAGGTGAGTTTCCCCAAGCTGCAGCCTTGCTCTGCTCCTTCAGACAGCCCTGAGCACAGCACAGCCCACGGCAGGTCACGAGGCTCCAAAACCCCCCAGCTCCGAGCTGTTCACCCCAACCCCCCGAGGGTGCCTGTGAACTGCTCCAGCCCAAGGCAGGAATTCAGTCAGCACCCCAGTCACCCCCCAGGGCACAGGCTGCAGGCAGTGCCACAAGATGAGGCAAGTCTCTTCCACTGGAATTCCCAGTTCAGTTTGTCTAAGTCTCTCAGAGCCAGAGCTCTGGTAGTGATGCTCCCTCACACTGAGGGAAAGCCTAAAGAACCCTCCAGCTGAAACCAAAACCACTTCTGCCCAAATCCTGCTGCAGGTGCCACAGCTGGGACCTTGATACACACTGGAGTCAAAGTGCAAAGGGTTTAACATGACAGAACTGGAGGTAAGGACAGGGGGAGGAAAGGCACCTGCAGGTCAGACTCGGCTGAATTCTCACTCTACCACAGCACTGGAGGGAAAACGCCCCATTTTTAACAGAGGGCAAAGAAACATTTATTGTTTTTAAGAGTAGAATGACTTCCTGTATGTCTTCATTCCCCACCACCTCTTCTAAGAGAAAACTTCTATATAGTTTAAACAATTTTCAGCTTTCCATGTGAAGGAAATTAAGAGCTTATATAAGTTTAAGAAAATAACATTTAATTTGTAAGATTTCTTTAAGCAACTCTAAAATCAGAACTGAAATGTCTGTAAAAGAAGACAACTCTATGAGAGAACCACATTTAAAATGTGTTAAGAAATATTAGTTTTATTTAACCAGTTTTCACAGCTGAATATTTATTCTATAAAAACTTTACAGATTGTACAGTTTATATATAGTTCAAACTACTAGAACAAAAAAGTAGGTCCCACAGATGCAAAAATACTGTACCAATCCAAGGTAAAGGCAGATTTACACACTGTACAGCTCTCCACTGGGAAGGGGAGGTGGGTCAGTTCCAAGTAAAAACTTCAAAACTGTACAAAAATAAGGTTTGATTTCATTCTTCATAATACATTCAGTAAGATTGCAAGCACAGATACCCAAGTAAATAACAGATATCTGCAGTCAGGAATCAATAACCACTCCTGGAAGGAATGCAAAATAGGTCTATTTACACAGGGCACTCTTTTACACCATACTGTATATAGTGTATATTTAAAATAATAAAAAAAGCATAGACAAAGAACATTAAACATCTAATATAAGGTAGTTTTTTTTTAAAAGGATTTTTTTTTGTTTTACTTAATAGTGTGCCAAAAGAATTTTAACTTATTAAATAATATATTCTAAGTGAACCTAAAATTTATGAACATAAAATGCTTTTTTTTTTTTGGTGTAATACATCAATTAAACCAGCAAATAGGAAAAGAACCAAACCCCAAATCCAAACTGTAGATAAAGTAGTATCTCACCCAGCAACAGAAGCACTTATGTAGTTATTCAGAACAAACAAACAAAAAAAAACAAACCCAGAGAGACTATTTAAAAACCCACTAAAACTAACTTATAACTTAGGATATTCATACATAAGATATTCAGTGATTCACTAATACTGCAAAACAAGCTTTTTTTTTTTGTTTTCTCTTTTCTTCCCTCTTCCTTTTCCCTCCCCCTCCCCTCACTCCCCTTCCCCAGGAGACAGTGGTTGCTTCGTGCCCTCTGGGTAAGGACTCACCTGTTCCTGCCCCCTCCTCCCACCCCTGGTACCTCCCCCCAGAAGGACAGAGTGTTTCCTTAGCAGTAATCCTGAGCACACTCTCTTCTGGGCCGAGCTCCCCGGGGTCAGGATTTCCACCCCCTGAGGTATTTGAGCGCTGGGCAGGGGAGGGGGCTGGGCGATACCCGTTTCAGCCTGGGCACTGGGGAGAGCAGAGGCTGCTCCAGGCCTCCCTGTCACTCCCTCTCTGGGTGATACAGTACTAGCCAGGGGTGACAGAGCCAGGGCCTGCCAGGGGCTGGCTGCTTGGTAGTGCACTGTGGGCTGCGGGAGCTCCTGGGCGTGGTGTGTGCACTGGAGCTGTACAGACAGAGCTGCACGGGGGGTGTGCATACAGCTGTACCTAACAACCGGGCAGCAAGGAGCTCTGTTCAAATTTAACTGATACAGTACTTCTAAACCCCTTGACAGGAAAAGGGGAGGGGGGTCCACTCCTGTTCCCAAGCTGAGCAAGGGGTTAGTTTATATAGGTTTTTAAAATGGGCGTTTTTGGTTTGCCCTGATGTCCAAGAAATACAATTCCAGTGTCAACGGGCATCTCCTCAGAACTCGTCAATCTTCTTCTGCAGGTATTTCAACATGGAGTCCATCCCTTGTGCTGAGCCCCAGATTTTCTTCAACACTTCACACTCCTTTTCGTTTGCTTGTTCCAAGTCCACCTTCATGATATTACGTACTAAAGCTTTGGATTCTTCAAGTACCTGGGCCAAGGAAAACCAGGGAGCTGGGTTAGTATGAGCCAAGAACTGAGCAACGGGCACACAGGGGTTAGTGCAGCCCAGTCCTGGAGGCAGCTGTGGACTTATCAGCTGTGAGGCTTATCAGCTCATGGACATACTGTGACCCCAAGAAATGACTCTCATCGAGTCTCTCGCAGTGTCACACGGGATTTCCTTCACCCTACACTGGCACAATTTACAAGGCCACAAAATGTGGAAATAATGAAAAGCATAATTATATTAAGAAAACCAAGTACAGTTTTGTGCTGCTACCTTCGTTCTGGTGCAGGTTAATCCTAACACTGTTCCCAGAACTGCTCCAATAACCAGGCAGACCTGGAGTCTCTGAGCACTTAACACAGACTGAAAAAAATCACCTTTGCTTTTCCATTTAGAAAACAACCTGTTCCCAAAATGTGACGTTTCCAATGCACAGAATGTTCATTTGTATTGCATCTCCTCTTGTAAGAAAGCCCCAAGTACTGGTGGTTAATCTGTCTGCTGCAGCTGCCAGCACACAAGGAGCACACGAGGCAGGACTTGCACAAGTCCAACGTGATGGCAAAGGCTGCGTTTATCTCCTGGTAATTTAAATGACAGCTCAAGAGAACTGAAGACTTTGTTCTTTCTGTGCAGTTCCTGAGGCAGCTGCTCCCACTGTTGATTAGAAGAAGCTGGATTCGGGCAACTATGCTAAAACCAAAATAGGCAGTCAAGAGCCTGGGGCTGTTCTGAAGCACCACACACCAGGGCCAGGGATGCAGGAGACTCGGGCACGGAAACAGATCCTCAGCAAGCCAGGAGCAGAACGACAGGTAAGGATGTATCCAAACCACTGCTCTGCTCAGAGCCACCAAAACGGGCGCCTTTTAGAGGGCGATGATGAACTCTAGCAACACGTGTATCAATTCTTACAAATCTCATCATTAAAGCATTTTGTAAGAAAATAAAGGGAACTTACAACTGAGTTACAGGTGACAAGCTCCTTAATTCGAACCATTACTTCCTGTGTGAACGTTCCCGGCCAGAACACCTGGGAGACGAGGCCTTTGGCACAAGCTTCCTGGGCAGTCAGCTTCCTTCCACTGAACAACATCTCATTGGCCTGGAGGGATAAAAAGTTACTTCTGGTATGAAATGTAATGAGACAAAAACTCATTAAAGGAAAAATGTCCAAAACAAAGGAGGAAAATGCCTGCGCTATTGGGAACGGGTTCGTTATAGCTCTCCCCACTAGGAATTAAGAAAGAAAAAAACTTGCCTACAGATAGCTGGTCGGTGGAGTTGACTACACTACAGCAGGAGGTATAAAAATACGGAGGTCTGTGCTTAAGGAGGGTTAAGGTGACAGTGGCTGGTGTCATTCCCGTTCCTGCCTGCTGGTGAGCTCTAGCTGTCCTGCAGTGCTGCTGACTCGGTTAACTGTGTATGTGGTAATGGGGTACAGAGCCTGGCAGATCTGGAAAACAGCAAGGAACACGTCAGCTTGCCCTCTGCAATCCTGGCACTTGCAGCAGCAAGGAAGGCTCTGCTAAAAACAACAGAACAAAAAAAGCTACAGTATCTGCAAATGAGGAGAATCACCCAGTTTGGGGAGTGGGCCTCCTGGGAACTGCCAGTCTGGGTAGGAAAGAACACTGAGATATTTTGCAACTAAATATTCTTTTTTAATACTGAAGATGTTTGAAAGCTAAATATATGGCTCATTTTCAGCACCTCTCAGAAGTCTTCACCAGTATTTTGTTTACAGTGCAACATTTCAAATAGCTGGATCATCTTCAGAGTTTGGCTTCCAAAATATCTCCTCCCAGGGGATACTGCAACTTCTGATCAAGTTCATAGGAAGTAAATATTCCCATTTTATTCAGGAGTTCAACACTCAACTGATAAATCCTTTCAAAAGCTGATGTAACAATCTTATAAAAAATACCCCAGTAGTATTTAAAAGATCTTGTACATAGTTTAACAGTACAGAACTGATTCTGTGAGACAAGGTGAGCTCTAGCTCTGTGAATCTTCCTGACTGGTCACTACCACACACCAGCCTCAACAGAGCTCCAGCCTACAGCCACTTAATGACACTGTAATTCTGCCTTAGTGAAGTTTCCTATGTAGTTAAACTTTCTGCCTGCAGTGACATCTTCACAGAAAGAGCCAGTGGAGATTAAAAAGTCACAGTAACTGTCAACCTCCAAAAAAAGGAAAAAAATAACAGTTTTACTTGTTTCTTACTGACTAATCTACATTGAAAATGTGACCAGGCCATCACTGCACTCCTGGAACAGGGCAAACAAGGGTGTTCTAGAACACCCAAACCTGACAGGTGTAATTTCTGAGGACAGAAATCTGGGGATTTTATTGTCTAATACTGGAAATTTTGGTAATTCATTATTACAGCAACATTAAGTATCTCAGTTTGTCTAGTTCCTGTAGGCAATTCCTACTCCTGCCACTGGACACAGGAAGACTTTTGGGAACTTAGAGGTCTGCTCCTTGCCCCTTTGGAAGGGGATACAAAGTCTGGCTTGAGTGGCAGTCCAGGGATGTTCCACCCACACCACAGACACCAGCCTCACACCAGCTGCTCCTCCTGCTTGCCCAGGTTACATGGGAGTGACACTGACCTGGAACACTGGCCAACAATCAGTGGCACACCCAGGTTTGTCTAAAAACAAGAGTCTTATTCCTAACAAGATACAAAAAAGAAAAGGAAAAAATCTTCCAAAATAGTTTTAAGACATAGGTGGCATTTCTATGGAAGAGCAGACGTGAGGTCGTTGAACTGGGGGTCAGGAAGGCAGCCGTGGAACTCAGCTGGCCGGGCCCACGTGTGCTGTGGGAACAAGGATAAAACTGAATGCTAGACAACCTGAACCACTTCTCCTGCAGCCCAGCAGTGGGGACCCCACCTCGGGCCTGCTCTGCAGCTAGCACACCTGCTGGGGCCTTTCCAGGAGCTACGCTACAGCAACAGGAGTATGAGCAAACCACGGCACTAAGGTCAGGCTCACTAACAGCTCTGAGCTCTGCTGGGGGGTTCCCCCTCCACAGAGACCTCCCCCGGGGTGTCCCCTGGCCCCCACCACGGGCAGGGAGAGGAGGGCAGGTGAGGGTGCCCCCACAGCCCCACCCCTGCACTGGGTGTCCCTGTGGCACTGGTACCCCGGGAAGCGTGCCCCTGAGATCTTCACGTTAGACAATGAGCATCCACACACAGCACAGAGGGCACTGGGGAGGAGCTGTGGGGCTTCTGGAGAACAAACAGCAACAACCACACGTCTCTGAAGGACGGGGATGGATGGGATGGACGGATGGATGGAGGGATGGATGGCCAAATAAAAAGGGAAAGGAACAATCAGTAGTTTGAAACATGCTAAGGTATTAAAGATACTCTTAAAACTGTTCATCTATTTCGCCCTTTCTGTTTCCTTCTAAGAACTACATCCAGACATCACACAGTTAGTCATTAGAGCTGTTTAAACTAACTGATGCTTTTAAGACATCCAACACTGTATTTTTTAAATCAGTAATAAATAGTACAGGGGAAAACTGGCTTTTCTATAAACAGTGATTTAGGAAAACCAGGTGTGGCCACAGGAGCTTGCTTCATACTGTTACTATTCAACGTCTAACTGGGCTGGGATATAGGTCTAAATTTTAAAGAACACAGCATAAAGAACAGCAAGCAAGAGGAGAATAAGGCAGGTATTTTAAATAGACTAACCAGCTGTAACAAAAGCTATTCAGAAGGCAAGGAAGCTGATGTTAAGTATGTGGCTTACATTGGCAGCAAAAACACACAGCGTTACCGTTTTTTTAAATCCAGCCCTAGTGTGGGGTGCAAGACTGAAAACCCCCAATCCTTCACCCAGGGGGGTGGGGTGAGCATTAAACACCCACAGAGAGCCCCGGGGTGAGGAGCTCTGGCCAGAGTGGTCCCCACGGGCATCGGTGGGGGTGCTGCCCACACACACGACCCCTGCCCTGGCACCAGGACCCCTGCCCACCTCCTGCTGTGTGCACAGGCTGTGACGTGGGGCACAGCAGCCACAAAGAACACACTTCTCCCAGAAGGTTTTCAGCAGAGGCAGGAAAGGGCAACGCCCCCAAGGTAAAACGTCCCGGCAGCGCTCCGGGCGACCGACCCCAGCGGCCCTGTGGAGCTGGCAGCCCCTGCAGGCTACTTACAGAAGCCAGGCCCATGATCCGGGGGAACGTCAGGGACGAGCAGCCGTCTGGGCTCTGCCCAAAGGTAGTGTAGGGTGTCTGGAACCAGGCCTTCTCGTTAGCCCACACCACGTCACACAGGGGCAGGATGGAAGCCCCCAGGCCGATGGCCGGGCCGTTCACTGCCACAATGATGGGCTTCTTGAACTGAATGAAAGTGTTCACAAAGTTCCTGGGGAGAAACACACACGGGCACTTGTTACATACATAAAGAGTGAAACATGTCAGCCCTCGACATCTGAACTGCTCTACAGCTTCATTCACGACCTGGGTGAGGGGGCAGAGCACACCCTCAGCCACTTTTACTGTCTTCTCCACGCGCCAGCTGTGCCTCCAGCAGAACAGGCCCTACACCTCACGAGGCCTTTTTTAGGGACACGAATGCTGCTGTCGGCAGCACCCGGCTCCCCGAGGGGACACGGGTGCTCTGGAAACACACAGGAGCCAATCCAAGAGCCCAGGCCCCACCGTGAGTCCAAACGTGACATGACTCCTTCAGCCACATCCTGAGCTCCAGCGCCGTGTGCCACGGCTGCTCTCCCAGCTGGCACCCGTGCAGCTCCTGCTCCTCAGACAGCAGCTTGCTGCCCAGCACTGGGACGCTGCTCACTAATATTCCTCTGCTCCTCTACAATGGACCCCTCGTCCCACTGCTCTACGTGCTCTGTATTAAGTAAGTTACTCATCCAACACACATCTTGTATTTGTGTGGGTTAAATTTGTTTTCCTGAAGCCCTGTGGCTGTTTAAGCCTTAAAATTGGTCTCAGCTGTTGGAGTGTTACCATACTGCCCATCTTCATAGCTAAATTTTAGCAGTAAAAACAGCAATGCATGCAATAACGGTGTAAAGAAGTGCTGCACGTTACCCCCCTCACAGGTGAATGCCTGAGATCTGCTGAACGGGGGCTTGTCACATACAAAAGGCAAACCCAGCTGACTGCAGTGAGGCTGCCCCGGCCCCCCACGTACCGGATGGCTTCTGCCATCTTGGTGCTCTCCTTCTTCCTGTCGTCCGTCAGGCGCCGGATGAAGTAGATGAAGTCCAGGCCGCAGCAGAAGATGCTGCCCACGGCGCTGAGCAGCACCAGCTTGCTGTCGTCAGCTGCCGCCGTGCTCAGGGCGCTCTGCACCTCCTTCATCACCTGCCGAAGCCAAAACCATCGCACTCTGCTCGCCCCCCAGTGAAAGCAGCACTGTCCCCCCACGCCCCCAGGCATCTGTAACTACTCCTCAGGAGCCACTCACCCGGCCTACTGGAC